ATCTTGAGTGCTGGCAGGGCGCTGCTGAGGGGAACGCGGCCGCCATACCCCCCTCAGTGGGGCGGTGGTGCCCTCCCCGGCCCCACCGCAGTCAGGACAGGCTTTCCTGAAACAAATGTCGCTTCATACCTATTCCCGTTGGCTCCTGACGGCCAACGGCTCCACCATGGCTGTTGGGAGTGAGTGAAAAGTAGGTTTTTAGATTCGTTTGTGGCCAAAGGCAAGAGCGGGACTGCAGCTGCCCAGGCCAGGGGCTCCTCAGGTCGGGGGCTCGGAGCTGCCGTCCCCTCTGCTCAATCAGGACAGTGGGGAAGGCATCAGCAGGCTGATGTCCCCCCAACTCATCCCCAGATGCCCTGGTGAACCCCTCTGGGGTGGAGCCAGGCTTTTGGCTGCCTCCTCGTTTCCTTGCTCTTGGCAGTGACCAGGTAATCATGCCTGGCCTTTGGTTTACTGCCTTCTCCTGGTGCTGGCTGCGATGATGCCCTTGGCCAGAGCAGCGCTACCTGAATCCAGCCCTTTCCACGTATCCCGGGACTCGGCTGAGAGCGGCTGTCCTCGCATCACCCCAAAAGCCTGCTGTAAATGTAGAAGTGATAAGAGCAGTCAGCTGGCTGGGAGGGGAAAGGACGGAGGAGGTTGTTGCCTGGAGAAAGCTGAGGGTCTCTGTCTTTCAACTTGCAGAGCCCTGTGCTGGTCAGAGCTTCCCCTTGGACTAACTGGTCTTAACAGCAAGGTAAGGAGCAGACGCAGCCTATAGCTGAGTCACGGAGCACCAGGGCTCGCCTAGCAGGATTTGCAGACGTCTTGCGTGGGGCATGAGAACTGCTGAATAATGGAAATAATGGCATGGGGAAAAACTTTGCTGTTGTCTAAAATGGGGCTGCAGGAATTATAGGCAGCAAAATAGTGCCCAGAGCTGCAGTATCCAGGTGGTTTTCCGGGCCAGCTTGGTGTTTGCTGTGGCTCAGACCCTGCTTGAACACGGGGCTGGGGGCACCGGCAGTTGAAGGAAAGGGACTCTGCCTGTTCAGTTAGATATGAAAGAAAATCAAGCCTGCCATAACTTTCTGAAGACACAGTATCACCCAGCATAGGTCCTGATTTGCTGTTAGCTCAGTAATATGGTGCAGGGCTGAGATTAGTAGCACTGACAGGATGTGAGGATAACTACTGCCTTTTAAGAGAAGTTTAAACAGTTAGAAAAAAGACCTGTCTTCCCTCCTTTCTGTCTGGGTCCTTTGAAATCTCTTCAAACCATCCCAGCTCCCTAGATTAATCTAGCAGCCAGGATTAATCTGTAGGAAAAACATCCCTTTCAAGCCACTACAGTGGTATTTCAATCAGAAGCAGCAGTGATGTCCCATTTTAAATTAACTGCAGGTAGTAAAGGTCACTCTGCCCTCCTGCAGCCAGACACTGGAATAACATGACCACGTGCTTCAAATCGGAGTCTGTCAAAGGTGCCCAAAGGGGACAGGCAGGATCCCACAGACATCAATATGAGCCCAAAACTTCTCATGGCTCTGTTGCACTTGTATGAAGTGTAATGCAGTTAGAAAACCTGTTTTATCCCAGAACAACTTCTCCCTTTGACTCCTGACTGGGGTGGACAGGGGATAGAGAAAGCCAGCTGCATTGCCGGGCTTTCCGGAAGGAGTTAAGAAGGCTTTCAGAGATCAGCTTGCCAAACTGTGATGCTGGGCTCCACACCAGGCCCACAGGAGCTGCTGAGCACTGGTGTCACCTCTCTAAAATGAGGTCTGGAACCCTTGAAAGGGGGTGAGCAGTTTTATGGAAAACAACAGTGGCTTGCTACAGATACTGTGCTTGTTTCTTTAAAAAAAGCAAAATCAAGGCAGTCGGGGGAGCAGAAGGGATCAGGCAAATCCTCAGCGCAGCCCAGTCACTTATTTCACAAGGCCAAGCCCTCCTGCTCCGGCAGGTTGCAGACCTCAACCTGGCACCCGTCCTGCTGGGACCGGTCTCAGTGTGGGGGCAGCAGAATGGCCACCTCCCTCCAGGACAAGTCCTGCTTCTCTTTGGGTTTGTTCGGCAGCAAGGAGGTTCTCGCAGTGTTGTGTCGCAGAGAGATGCAGGTTTGAGGGATCAGGATAGAAGGCCTGGAAAAGTATTTTCATTTCCTGGGAAATTCCAATATTTAACCTGTATTTTCACTTCAAATCCAGCTGAAAAGCTGAAACTGCAAATTTTCCTGGGGAATGGATAGTCTGAACAAAATGCGTGTTTGGAAACATCAAAGTGGTTTTGCTCTGAAAGGGTAAATCCCAGTTCCTTTTCCCAAGCCTGAGCTGGGTGTCAGAAATCATTTTATATCCAAACACACAGAGAGAATGGCATTTGCGTGCCGGTTTCAGACAGACTGATGTCCACTCCAGGATATGACACTGTTACAGATGAGTCTGTGGTGGTGTAAACTGGGGAAGCCCCATGAAATGCCACAATACCAGGGATGGCTCAAGTGCCTGGAACTTTGCTCCTGAATTCTCTTGGCTTCTGCGCAAAGCCAGGGGTGAGCCGAGTCTGTGGGTGGCTGTGACGTCCTTGCTCCTTCTGCTCACCCCAGCCAGCTGAGCTCAGCCAGGCTGGCACCACTGCATTCCCCCTCGGACTCAGCCCTGAATCCTCTTTCCTGGCAGGGACTTTTACTAAACTTTTTTCTTCTCCATATTTTTGCTGAAGTCTCAAAATGCCCCCCCCCCTTCTTCTTTGCCGAGTGCTAAATATGAGCTGATTATTCAGTTCCAAGAAACCTGATCTTTATGGTCAAGTGTAATAAACAGTACCCAGACATGTGAGACAGTGCAGTAACAGCTATTTCTGGCCGGCAGATTTGTTCCCTCATACATTGGCTGCTCCGAGCTCCCTTGGAGGAGCTGAGGTCACTCCTGAGTTTCAGACTGGAGTTTCAAGCTAGAATTTGGGAATATTCAAAAGCTGGATTTTTTGTTGTTGTTATTCTTTTTTTTTTTTTCCCCTCTTTCATCTGCAGTCTGGTCACCCCAGAGGGCAGCTGGCCCCACTGGTTACTGAGCCCAAGGGCCTTGCTGTGCCCGAGGGCCTGGGAAGGGGGAAATAAACACCCTTTTCTACACTGTCCTGCAGTGCTGGGCTTCATCTCACCTTGCTGCTGTGTGAGAACATCTGTCAGAGCTGCTGGGACTTGATTCACCCCATCTGATGTGCACTTGAGTCAGGCAAAGCACACCGTGATTGCCGGCTTGGTCTGTCTGGAGTCTATGTTACCCCAGACAGTGGAGCTGTCAGTGAGGCTGAGCACGGCCCCATACCCCAGGAACAAGTGGGTGCTCCCAGTTTCCCAAGGCAATCATCCAAAATCCCTAGTCCTTTTTTAACACGGTGAAGGTGCTGGTATTGGTTGAGAGTTGAGGATCCCCTCTTGCAGTCATGGCCCCCAATGCCTTTAATGCAGTTCAGAGGGGTACAGGGCTTAGGAGGTGGTTTCCTGATCCAAAGCGTATATGAGTCAGTGGGAGTTTTTCCTTTGCTTAATGGAATGTCTTAAAGAGCAGAAGGACACCTGTACCCTTGCTACAAGGCTCCTCACCTCTCCTTTCTCACCAGGTTCCCACTCTGATCCTCCCAAGATGGCACCCAAAAAGAAAATCCCCAAGAAGCCCAAGGTGGATAAAGAGGATGCATCCATCACCCCAGTGGTGGTGGAAGATGCTTTGCTGGATGTCGAACACCTCAATCACCTGAATAGTTTGTACGACAGCGGTTCCAACGGCTTCCACTGCACGGCCACGGACGTTGAAGCACCGGACCATGGAGCCAGCCTTCTGGAGGGGATGAACCAGATGCGCCAGAAGCGGTTCCTCTGCGATCTCACCGTTGCCACCAAAACAAAGTCCTTCGAGGTGCATAAACTCATCCTGGCTTCCTGCAGCGAGTACTTCCACCGCCTGCTGCAGAGAGACCCTCAGCTGCACCGTGTGGAGCTCCACGACGTGTCCCCACTGGGTCTATCCGCCATCATCACCTACAGCTACACGGGGAAGCTGAGCCTCTCACTGTACACCATTGGCAGCACCATTGCTGCCGCCACCCAGCTGCAGGTGCCAGCACTGCTGAACATGTGCAGTGACTTCCTCGTTCAGGAGATAGCCGTAGAGAACTGCATGTACATCACCAACATCTCAGCCACCTACGGCCTCAACCAGGTGAAAGACACTACCCGGAAATTCATCCGGGAAAACTTCCTGGAGTTCTCCAAGACTGACCAGTTCATGAAACTCCCCTTTGGTCAGGTCAATGAGCTGCTGATGGATGATGGCCTGCAGATACCCAGTGAGGTTGCAGCCTTCCAGATTGCTGTCAAGTGGCTGGAGTTTGACCCAAAACGGGTCCGATATGCTGCTGACCTCCTGGGCAACATTCGATTCGGCACAATCTCAGCTCCAGACTTGGTCAACCTTGTGCAACCTGTGCCACACATGATGCAAGATCCACAGTGCCACAAACTCCTCGTGGACGCGATGAATTACCACCTGCTCCCCCACCAGCAAAACAGCCTTCAGTCTCGGAGAACCAGGATACGTGGAGGCCAGAGGGTGCTTGTCACAATTGGGGGTCGTCCAGCTTTGACCGAGAAGGCTCTTAGCAGGGAAATCAGCTACAGGGACACAGAAGGAAACTGGAACAAGCTGACAGAGATGCCAGCAAAAAGTTTTAACCAGTGCGTGGTGGTGATGGATGGATTCATCTACATTGCGGGTGGTGAAGACCAAAACGATGCCAGGAACCAGGCCAAGCATGCTGTCAGCAGCCTGAGCAGGTAAGACGGGCTCCACCTGGCCATACAGGCCCTGGGGAGGGGTTCAGAGTGGTGCTGTGTCTGCCTGTGCCTCAGGATCCCCTGTGGGGTGAGCATGTCAGAAAGGTTCCTCTGCTATCAGTAACCAGGAGGTAGGTCTGGCCTCTGGGATAAAGCTTCCAGGGAGGGACGGCCACAGTGAGGCCCAGCACAGGGTGCTGGACTGCGAGACACAAGACCTGGAAACCACTTCCGGGGATTTGGTCTATGTGACCTCAGCCAGGGCTTCCCCTGGGGACTTTGGCACCTGGGCTGTGCTGCCCATGTCCTCCAGCAGTGCACAGCACCGGTGCAGGATGAGGGCAAGACAGGGCCTCTTTGAAGCTGTGAGGCTCCTGGAGAAATGTGAGCCCTCAATATTTAGAAGTAAGCCATTTTGTTACTCTGAGGAAGCTCCCCTTTTAGTCCACTGGCTGTTCCTCCAGCCTCAACCCAGTCTCTGATTTGTCTAGATTCATTTTAAGGTAGATTTACTGCCTGTAGGATTCCCATTGCCCTTCAGGCTTTCGTCTCTCTGCCTCCATTTCTCTCTTCATCATTTAAATGACGAGGTTTGTCTCCTTAATCCCCATAAACCTGTCACTGGATTGCCAAGGGATTACTATTCAAAGAAAGGAGTAACCATGACAACCTGACATGCAGTATTTTGTTTGCAACCTAAACCTGAACTTCCCAGTGGCTCTGCCCACAGCTTGGCTCAGCCACCTGAGGCTCCACATGCAGCATTACTGGCACTGCTCAAGGCCAGCCCTGATCACCCCTCGGTTAGGAGCTGTCATTGGGCTCTTTCTCCTGCACCGAGTGAGGTTTCAGGGACCCACTGGTGTAGTTTTATTTCTGGCCAGCAGCTTGTCCACCTTTCGCAGCCTGGCCTTAGTCCCCACGGCATCGCTCTGGGGACACAGCAGCTCCAGTTCCCTCTGCCATCTCGTGGGCACACAAGGAGTCAGCTTCTTACCATGTGCCTGGCTTTGGCCTAGCAGGATGAGCAGGGAAGACCTGCCCCTAGGTCCTCTTCTACCTGCCAAGACCCAACAGAGGGAACAGTGATGGTGCTTGAGGACACCTCAGATTGGTAGCACTGGCCATTTCCAAGCCAGGCCAGAGCTTGTGGTGGCATCCCAAGGGTTAGGGTGGAAACAACCCCAGCAGTCACAGGTAGGATCCAGTCCTGTGCAGTGCCATCGTCTTCATCTGCACAGCCTATTCAGACGTTTTTTTACTGCTGGAGAAGACAGAGAGGCTCTTCCAGAGCACGAGTTGTCTCCTCTGAAGGCAGATGTCTGGCAGGCCCCACTTCTCTGATGCTAGCTAGTCATGCACAGACAGATCTGCCTGCCCTTCATCCCCCAGGTATGACCCGCGCTTCAACACCTGGCTGCACCTGGCCAGCATGCAGCACAGGAGGACACACTTCAGCCTGAGCGCCTGCAACGGGCTCATCTACGCTGTCGGAGGGCGCAATGCTGAGGGCGTGTTGGCATCTGTTGAGTGCTACGTCCCCACCACCAACAGCTGGCAGAGCAAGGCAAGCCTGGAGACACCTCGCTGCTGTCACGCCACCACCGTCATTGATGGCAAACTCCTGGTCACCGGTGGCTACATAAGCCATGCCTATTCACGCACTGTGTACTGCTATGAGCCCAGCACCGATGCCTGGAGGGAGCAGGCAAGGCTCAGCACCCCCCGGGGCTGGCACTGTGCGGCCACCGTGGCCGACCGAGCGTATGTGCTGGGTGGGAGCCAGCTGGGTCCCCAGGGCGAGCGGGTGGACGTGATACCTGTGGAGTGCTACAGCCCAGTCACGGGGCAGTGGAGTTACATGGCACCCCTGCCCACAGGGGTCAGCACAGCTGGGGTGGCTCTGCTGGAGGGGCGCTTGTGCCTGGTGGGTGGCTGGAACGAGAGCGGGAAGAGTTATCAGAAATGCGTGCAGTGCTACAATCCTGACCTCAACGAGTGGGCCAAGGACGAGGACCTCCCTGAGGCCACCGTGGGCGTCTCATGCTGCACCATCATCCTCCCACGCTCCCCAAGCTCCACGTCCCGGGCCAGCTCTGTGGCCTCGGCAGCTGCCAGCACGTAAAGAGTTCTGGGTGCCACAGGGCTTATGCCAGCAGTTAGGGAAGGAGACAGAGCTGAGGAATGTGGGATAGCTGCATCTCCATCCCACAGCTTAAGCAGGGATTGCTCAAGCAGGGCAGACATGGAAGCAAGCAGGACAGAAGAGCTTTTCTCCTCAGCCTGCAGCACTGCATCGCAGTGTGGATTGGAAAAAAATGGGAAAAAAAAGAAGAGAAGCAAACTAGAATAATGCAGGAGAAATTCTACTGTAGGAACAGTACTGTAAGACACTTTCAAAACAACAGTAGTATTGGTATTAGGTATAAGAAAGTGACAGGTCTATAATATATCTTGTTGCTCACATAGCATTTGTTCAAGGGAAATGCATTTAATATTTACCTATTGAAGCTAGATACCTTCAGACCAGAAATAAAGTGAATCTTGATAGCAAGGAAGAGAACTGTTGGAGCAACTCACCAAGATCTCTTGCTCTTCCAAGGGCTGTGCTCTAGCTCAAGCAGAAGGAATCGGGGAAGTGCTGGAAGATGCTATGAGGTGCCCTGAAAATAAGTATTAGCTGGAAGAGAAGCCCTTCACATCTAAACCAGGAGCTTTTGCAGATCTATTCCTAGCCAAGTCCTCGTTCTTGTACCATCAAGCTGACAGCCTGGGTTTGAACTCAGTCAGTGCTTCCCCATTACTGTAAAAGCAGTCTGACCTGTAAAAGGAGAACTGATTAGGAAACTTTCAGGGGCAAGCACTTGCTCAGTGCCTGGGGTCCCTCTCTGAGACAGTTACCCATCTTTATTAAAGCCCTGTGTGCCCTTTCAGAGGGCACAGGGACTGCAGATCCCCCCTTAGAGCACTACAGAGCAGACTGGGGCTCTTGGGCTAAGTATGTCAGCCAGCAGCACTCCAAACCCAGCCCCGGTGGCTCTGCAATGCAGCCCCAGAGCAGGGATAACTTGCAACAAGCAGGAGGCAAGAGAGCATGGCCGTTATTTCCTGGTCTCCAGCCCACAGTTATTACATGACATCACACAAGAGTCATATGCCAAGGCCAGGATCTTCCAATAACAGGTCCTGTTACTGGAGCACATTTACAAGTGATCCTAGACAGACTCATCACCTTCGTCTTGGGCCAAGGCAGCTAGGCACTGCTGAGCATCTAGGCAAACACTCCTGTTTTTCTTCCAGTCTTTTTTGCACAACACAGTGAAATTGCATCCAGGAAAGCCCTGAGCCCCTTGAGGGAACTCCAACATGCTGTAAGATGCCAAGACAACTTCAGTAAAGCAGGCTGGTTTGTGCTTCCTTTTGCAACTCACAAAAACCAAGCAGCTTGCAGAAGTTACAGGTCACAGAGATATTCATCTTTCTTTGGAGAATTCACCCTCTCACTTAAGAGTTCACATCAAGCACAAAGGTATAGAGAGGCAGAACATCATTTCTGCTCAAATTCTGTTTTCCTCTGTGCATTTTCACATGCACAGCACACACTGCGCTGTGCATTTTGGAGTGGGCTCCATCCTGAACAGTGCTGGCAACCTCCCCTGGTTTATAACTCCACCAGGCTTGACAAAGGAACCATCTAGTCTTTGAGACAACACTGCACAAGCACTGGTGTTAGTATTTATTCCTTTTATTATCATTTTTTACCGTAAGAGGCAGGAGAGAACTGAACACCAGCAAGAGGCAAGGGTGTTGCAGAATTCCACCTGTGTGAGCTGTATTGCCCTGCAGGGAATTTTCCTCTTTAAACAATAAAGGCCACTCCTTTGCAGGGGAAAAATGTCTGGCTTTGTAATTACAGCAGCATACATTCACACTCCTGAAACATTTTAAGAAACCAGCCAAGATTCATCCTCTACATTCCAAGCACATCCAGTAATTGCTTCTGGATTTCTACAGCCCATTGAGCACACCACAATCTGTGGGGCAGAAACACTGTACCAGCTGCAGGTACTTGAGTTCACTCACTGCCCACAGAAGCAGCATGGATCAGGGGGTTCTGGCTGATCTCAGCCCCTTCTTGTGGCACCAAGTTCAAATCTCTGCTCAGAAGCCTCACCAGTCCCGCAGCACTGCCAGCACCACAGGTCTTACTCATTCCCTTCCAACCAGTTCTGTCATGCTCAGAGAACCATCAGCCACTTTTTGGCTTTATGGCTCTGCTTTATTAAGAGGATATATGTGCCATTTTCTTTGGCTTGCCATTGAAGAGTCCCCACAAAATTCACAAGAGAAGTTAGGGGTTAGAAAATTTTATTTGTTTTTTTGGTAACAGGAACTGCTTATTTACCAGGAAGGATGATGCCATCATACTGTGAGGGGAAAAAAAAAAAAAAAAAAAAGAACCAAGTGAGAAAGTACCACCAGGTAAAGGTACAGTACTGCTGTGCAGTAAACCAAGTCACCATGTCCCTTCCAAGCCAGCCAGACAACATTGACATGAAACACCAGTTCTCCTACATGAACACCTAACTGCCTTTCTACTTTGCTGCTGTGCTGTGAACTTCCAAGGGGGGCTCTGTTCAGATCAGCATTAAACTCTGCTCATCAGCCCAGCAAAACAGGAGGCCCCACCCTTCAAAGGTTGATCTGACCAGAACTACACTCATCCCTTTTACACTCCCAGGATTCGGCCCCTGAAGGTAACTGTGCCACAGGGAGCAGAACCAGGCATGAGGGGGGAAAAAAGCTGATCAGCAGGAGCAAGCTGAGCCCACTCTGTGCAGGGTGTGGCCAGCATAGATCTAGGCAGAGCAGCCTATAACGAGGCTCTGGACTGTCGACCCTTTCCACCTCTGAAAAGTACCAGCAGTCCCCATCAGGCTTTCGGCATCTCCCATTCATTATGCAGTCTGTGTTAGAGAGCACTAGAGACAAACCGAAGGACTGGTTTTATTTAGATCACTCCATCCTCCAAGCCTGGCAGCTCATCTAGGAGCTGTGTCAGATAAATCCTAACCCTGCCTTGTCACTTGTGATCACATACATGTAGCACCTCCAAAAACTATGGGAGACAGGTTTACACAAGAGCTGATACTTCCAGCTATCCTGCAAGAGCTGCTCTTTCAGTTCAGCACACACACAAAAAAAAGAGGGGCACAAACAACACTTGTGCTCAAACGCAGCTTCTACTGCCCCAGAGCAGTAAAAACTCAATGATTTAAACAGTGATAAGATCTCCTCCTGGCCAGTGACCTGTTCCAGTCCTTCTGCATTGAAGCATTTTGCTGCTACTTGCTAGGAAACTCTTGGGATACAAAAAATAAAGATGGATTTTACCTTTTGCTGAAACCAGCGCATGGCTTCTTCCTTTCCAATTCTGTGCTTGGCTCCAATGTTGCCAGTCCTGCGTTTCTTGTCAGCAATGCTGAAACCAGGCCTGCCCAGCACCTGCCAGGAGAGGAGACCAACAGCACTATTTCATTCTGGCATTTATTTATTTTCTTAAACTTAACAGTTTTCTAGGAGGGAAGGCTAGAATTTCCACATCAGTAACATCTCATTGTCCAAGCTGCAATCAAGACTGAGCACATTATCCTCTACAGCCTCAATGCAGAGTGAAAATAACTCCTGAGCAGCCAGGTAAACTGACAGGGACAGCTCCTAGGTTGACAACTTAGTACATACACTGACTGAAACCAAAATGAGTGTGGAAGATGCACTTTTCCATACACAGAGGCCTCAGCTCTGGAGAAAAGATACATTGATTGAACAGCATTGCTAACGCATACAGAACAGCTTTGCTCTATTTCAGAGTGTTAGTGAGACACAGAATGGAATGACTCAAACATGCCAGCCACCGCCGCTGCCACATGAGCCATCCCCAGCCCTCTGCATGCAGATTCTCCTGAATCTTCCAGCAGTGCAGCCCATCTTTCAGCCTGCGTTCCCAAAGCCCTGCTGCTCCTTCCTTCCCCACGCCTAGCACAGCTGTTTCAGTATTAGCCCAGGAACATCACTAAATGCAACGGTATTTGTTTCTGAAGAGGCTTTGTGAGACATGCCACAAATTGAGGATTTTACAGCAGCCCTGGGAATCTCAGTTTAGACTTGCATTTTGTTGACGTTTTTCCATCTTCCAGCACTGGGCAGCAAATTAACATGAGCCAGTTATCATTCTAGGGCTTTCACACAAACCCAGTAGCCGTAAGGAAGCAGGGAATACGCACCACGTAAAAGTCCAAGCCGTAGATACCAATACTGGGATCATATTTAATTCCCAGATCAATGTGCTCCTGGATTCCAAAGCCGAAGTTCCCAGTGTCTGAGAAGTTGTTTTTTCTCAACTCGTATTCTCGCACCTGAAACATTTGTTGTCAGTCACTATTTCATTATCGACTACAAATACAGTAGTTCTACTTGCGTGTTCTACCAACTGCTACCAGACCCACAACTTGCTTGCATGCTATTAAGTCTTCAGCCCTAAAATTTTGCTCCCACAGCCTGCACATAAGTCTCAGCAAAGACAGAATCTCAAAAGAAAGGAGTAACTGCACCAACTAGCTCTTAAATAAGGATGAGAGAGCAACCTGCGTATCAGACAGAGCTGCTACCCCAACCCTTAACATCTATGACTGATCTGTAACTAGATCAGGTGCAACACTTCAAAGCACAGATCTTTTCAGTTGGTATGGATTTAAGCTTTGCTCTTTCACAAATCAAAGATCCTGACCAGCCAAATTCTCACCTTCAACCCCTTCTCCAGAATCTCCTCTGCTTTGGCCCCACGAACCGTGCAATGAACAGCAATCTTCTCATTTCTCCTGATTCCAAAGGATCTTACAGTGTATCGTGCTGTGGGCAGCAATAATTACACTTAGAGGCTATTCAAAAAATTCCCACCTGAGGGATTCAGAGCTTGCTCAAGAAGACCAAAGAAATGACTTTAAATGAAAGAAAAAAAGAACCAAGGCAACTAAATGTTCCCTCTTGGGGAATGAGCAGAGACCAGCACCCAGAGTCTGGGGGCAGAACTCAAGTGACAGAAACAACCACCGGCACCCAAATACTAAGGCCCTCAATTCTCACAAGGCTCATGTCAGGGCAGACCTCCCCACGCTGGTTCTGCCAAGGAGCCTCTTCCCTGGCAGCCAAAAAAAAATTCACCCTCTGCGTGCTCAGGGGAGGAAGGAAAACAACCTGCTCCTTTGCAGCCCTGCGACACCCAGCCCCCCTTGGCAGCCGGCAGGAAAACCCACCCCTCACCTTTGGAGAAGACGGGGGTCTGGCCCGTCAGCTGCTCCAGCACTTTGGCCGCTCGGGTGAGCCTGTCCCCGCTCTCCCCAACGCAGATGTTGAGGCAGAGCTTGCGGATACGCAGCTCTCGCATGGGGTTCTCCTTTTCACCCTGGTCTTGCTGCAGAGAAACGACACGGGGGCTAGTGAGGGGCGACCGGGAAACAGCCCACCGCTCGCCC